TCCCTACTTGGGAAAGCAAGCAGGCTTGCCAGCGGAGCCACACCAACTCCAGACTCCTAAGAAATGAGCCTTCAGGCCAGGTGCATCCCGAGAGGCCGGCTTACCCAAAAGCTTAGGAGCAGGGAGGCTGAGAGTCACCTTGTTCAGGGTTCTTGCCTTCTGCTCTGCAACTCTGGCTATAAAATGTGCATAAGGCAATGACAGCCTAAAGAAGGCATGGACACAGGGTGGAAAAGGCTTGGGGAGCTGGCTCGCTGTACACGCCAGAGGACCTAAGATCAATTCCATGGCATCTATGTAAAAACTCTCCTTGGTGTCACGTACCTGCAATTCCAGCGCCGTGGTAGCAAAGACAGGTGGATCCTGGGGGCACTTGCTGGTGGGTCAAGCTTGATGAAATGCCGAGCTCCAGGCTCAGTGAGAGATTCTGCCTCAAAGAACAAGGTGGAGAGTGATGAAGGAGTCTGATGGCCTCTGGCCTCGCACCTGTACACGCGTACGCACGCTTGCACCAACCCCGCCCACCAGTAGGGTAAAGTGTCACTCATAATTTTTACACTGACTTCATGTTTTTTTTTTCAAGGCTGCAGATCAAATCCATGGCTTTGCAGATGCTAGGCATACGTCAACCACTGAGTGCATCCGAGCCCCGTGGATCACACACGTCAGTGCCAACAGGGAATGTTGGGGTTGTAGGCTCAGCAACACAACACTTGCCCAGCACACTGGGGGCCTGGCTCCCACCCCCAGAGCCACGGGAACGAGCTCACATAGAATCAGTAAAGGAGATGTTTGCACAAAGGTGGAGTCTCTGAGGACGCCTCATCCCTATTTCCCTCAGAGCATCCCTCCCGCTCTGGGGTCCTCTGCAGGCACTTCAGACATCACTGGCCTCGGTCAGAGCTGGGGTGGCAGGAGCCTGACACCTGGTCAGTTCGAGGATCCACTAACCAGGAGTGTGAGCTCCTTGGAACATGATGAAGGGCTGGGCAGAGTGACTTCTGGGACTCAGTTTCCCTGACACTACTGCAGCCACCATAGAGCTTCCTAGGTTGCCAAGGGCAACGGGTGTGAGCTGGGGGAAGGGCCTGGTGTGGGTGAGGGACTTGGACCTGCTCTCAATACTCCTGAAGACTATAGATATTTCTCTCCCCCTGGCCTATCCCAGAACCACCCAGCAGATCCTCTCTCCACCCAGCTTCATCCCTTCTGGTTCCCAGGAACCAGGTGTTGTGAGTAGAAGCTCTTATACAAGGCTGCTACTCAGAGAAGGCCATCTCAAGCCTAGGGTCACAACATACAGTGTGACTGGCAGCAGAGCTGGGTGGCTCCCAGAAAAGGCTGGCAGGGAATAAAGCAGTGGTTCTCGGGCTGGAGAGATGGCTCAGAGGTTAAGGACACTGACTGTTCTTCCAGGGGTCCTGAGTTCAATTCCCAGCAACCACATGGTGGCTCACAACCATCTTAAATGAGATCTGGTGCCCTCTTCTGGCATGCAGGCATACATGGCGGCAGAACACTGTATTGTATATGTAATAAATAAAATCTTTAAAAAAAAAAAAAAAAGCAGTGGTTCTCAACCTGTGGGTTGCGACCGCCATGGGGCCCCTGCATATCAGAGATTTACATTACGACTCATAGCAGTAGCAAACTTACAGCTATGAAGTAGCCATGGAATAACTTTACGACTGCGGGGGGTCACCACAACATGGGGAACTGAGTTAAAGGGTCACGGTATTAGAAAGGTCAAGAAGCACTAGAATAAAGGAGAGATAGAGGCTCAGGTAGGCAAGTGTCCAGTTCCTCAGGCCGGTGAGCAGAACTGTGCTCACTCGCTAGCACAGTTAATTAAGTAGAATCAGTCTACTTAATTCCCAGTGAAGAAACTGAGGCCCTAAGCAATTGGAAGCCTCAGTTGGGACAGAGCTGGGTCCATGACCCCCCGCCTAGGCTAGGGCTCTGGCACCAGCAGCCCAGGCCCTTCCAGCACAGGACACACAACTAATATTTATTCAGGCTCACAATGTCCATGGCCTTGATCCTCAAATTCATTAAGTCTCTTCTGCAGTTCCGAGGTGGCCAGGTATTTAGCAATGACTTGTTTACAGATAAAGAAGCCCACAGGAGCTTCCTGAGTCAGAGTGGGGTGAGGGCCTTTCACTATAGCCTGTCTGCCATGCGACACCAGGGACCCAGTGTGGGTGGCCAGTGCCTGCCTGTGCCAGCCTACTTAGGGATCAGCACTGTGGGCCTGTAGGGAGATTGCTGAAGATGGGGACTTAGCCCCCGCCCCCCCGGGGGGGGGAGGAGAGAGGATGAGCCCCAGGGGACTAGGCACACAGGGAGGAAGCTGGGAGGCTCCAGGGCCTTGCAGCTGCGGCTTCCTCTATTTGCCTGGTTCCTTCCTCTTTCCCTTAAACAGCAAGAGGACAATCTGCAGGAGAGTGAGAATATTTGCTCTAGTGTCTGGAAGGCAGCGAGAGTACAAGGGTCCAGCCCAGGCAAGCAGAAGCCTTCACTGTGGCTTCAGGATTCTGGGTCCATTTGTTCAAGTCATGTGACCTCAGGCAAGAGGCTTCACCTTTGTGGTCTATGCCACCTAGGAGATGGGAGACCGCTCCAGTCATGCTCCTTGCAGTCCCACAGACAGATTCAGAGGTACATTGAGACTCCCTGGGCACCACAGCTTAGCTGGGGCAGCGCTATTAGAACCCAGAGACCATTCTCTGATGCTCCAGGGTCCTCCTACCTCAGGCCTGGGTCTAGGGAAGAACTACAGATTAGCAGTCACTGGGATGATGGTCACACATATACCAGACCCCTCCCCCTGTGGTCCACCTCCTTGCCAACCACAGGAAGTCATGGGGCCTAAAAGAAAGACATTTTTTTTCTGTGAGCTAGGCCAGCTGGACAGCAAGGTCATGGTCACTCAAGGGCCTCGGGGGAAGTCCCAGGAACTGCTTGGTTTTCCTGACAATGAGTTCACTCAGCGGAATGCTTAAATCCATCCTGGGTTCTCATCATTCTGGGCAGTCCCCATCAGAAAGGGCACTCACTGATCCACAGGGAGCCGCAGTCACACCACTGAGAGCAAACACTGCACACCCCTTCCCCAGCTACCTACTGGGAACAGGGCAGTCACCACTGGCTGTGCCCAGATGCCAGGATCTTGCAGCTCTTAAAAATGCAAGCAGAGTGGCAGAGGCAAGCAGGCTGTGTTTGCTACAGGAATGAGAAGAGATCATGAAACTGCATCGATATGGGGTCCCACAGATCAAAGAGGGAAGGAGAGCAGCTGGAGGGACTGCTGGTGCCCAGGCTTCTACATGGGTGGCTTTGGCTTTGGCTTATTCAGTATGAGCATGGAACCCAGGGTCTGTCTCACCAGGCTGGACAAGGGCCCCACCACTGAGCCACATACCCAGCCCACTTATCAAACTTTATATTTTGAGATAGGGTTTCACTAAGTTGCCCAAGCTAGCCTTGAACTTGGAATCCTCCTGCCTCAGCCTCTCTAGTAGCTGAGATCACAGGACTGTGCCACCAAGCCTAAAAAGACTTTTTTTAAAGGAAAGGCAAAAAGCGATTTGGCCAGACAAGCATTTTCTGTCCTTCAATTAGATTCATGCATGCAGAGGGTCTCACCTGTCCAGCAAATAATCAAATGTTCATTGAATTAATGAGTGAGACTTGCTCCTCTGACCCTCACTCCTCCCCCCCCCCACCAGTGTAGCCCAGGCTGGCTTTGACTTGCTGTGGATCCCCCCCACAAGGAGAACCTTGAGCTTCCTATCCTCCTCTCTTCACCTCCCAAAGTACCGGGATCACAGGCTCCTACCACCATGCCTGTTTTGCAATTCTGGGGAGGGAACCCAGGTTGCATGTGTGCTAGACAAGCATTCTATACATCCCTATAGGTCTTGTGGCTTTCCAGCTTTTCTTGTTGACTGCTAGAACATTCTGGAGCACGGTGACCCTACTGATGTCACATTACATGACCTGGTTGACTCCTATGATTAAATCTTTGGCAATAATTTTTAATTGGCCAAAGGTGAAGACAGCCCTGCAGCTACCCTGAGACCCTTCCTCCAGGAAGGATAGCCTTGTTCTAGTCACGAGGAGTCAAAAGAGTTGTCTGAGAAGTCAGAGACGCTGAGCTCCATCTTGGCTCTGGTCTTGCTAGAAACGCCTACTTCTTCGAGTCTCCATGTCTTCATCTGCAAGGCGGGGAGAGCAATGCCTGCTGCCCACTGTGGCGGGTTTCTAGCTGTCACCCTGTAGGTCCTCAGCAGAGGGTAGAGACCCCTCCCTTCTGCTCAGCCCCTTCTGACTCACTGAGTGGCCTGCCATTCCAAACGCCTAACCCTGTCAACCCAGGCTTGCCAGGATTACCGGCTCCCAGCAGGTTAGCTGGGCCCAGGGAAGCTCAGCCACTTACACTGTTCCAAGCCTTCTTGACAGTTCTGATGCTTGATCACCCTTGAGAGCCACAGCAATCCAGGGTGAGACCTCCACCTCAGGCCTCAGTCTTTGACAAACTGCAAAAGAGTGACAGTTGCCTGACCGAGCCACTCTGGGGACATGGGCGAGGCCCTAGGATGATAGCTCCTGGCCCTGGCCATGGGAAGGAACTCTGTTGGACTAGGCATCTGCCTCCAGGCTTGGAGTTTCAGCACAGGCCTCCCACCTCCCTTGCTATGTGTGAGTCATCAGAGGGGACAGTGGTTGTTGGGGGGCAAGGACCCAGGCACTCTGCAAAGGAGGGGTCTGCAGACCTTAGGCTCCTGGCTGTCTGACCAACATCTTCCCACGTCCACTCCCAGCTAACAAGTCGTGACCTGCTCAAGTTCATTGCTCAGGGAGTTCCAGGAAGCTGGGCCATCGAACTGTTTGCTCTCCGGCCCACACAACTGCTGCCCATTGGTCCCCTTCTTGTTTTGGTCCTATGTGCGGTAGTTAATAAAGTCTGTTGTTTGTTGCCTTTATCGGACTCTGTAAACTTCACAGACCTTCTTTCTAAGGCAGGTAAGGCCAGTGACCTGCCGAAGGCCACAGAGAGGGCTGGCATTAGCTTTGGGCCTTTCTCTTCTCTACAGAAGAGCTTCGATACAAAGCATGGGAATGGCCCGGGAGGGTGGCTCTGGGCTTCAAGGCTCCTGTGACAGGATGTGGGAAGCAAGAGAGGCTATCTCAGTCAGGTGGTGGTAGCACACGCCTTTAATCTCAGCACTCGGAAGAGGCAGGCAGATCTGTGAGTTTGAGACCACCCTGGTCTACATAGTGAGTTCTGAGATAGCCAGAGCTACACAAGAAAAAAAAAAAGAGGCCTAGCCCTTCATACTCTTCCCCACTTAGACCCTGCTGCCTCCCAGGCATCCCTGCTGTCCTGGACAACTTCCAGCTCAGTAGTGCCCGATGATGGTCCACAGGATGTGACCTAGAGACCCAGCCCCAACGCTCAAGGCTTTCTTGAGTGAGGTGGGCACTCTGTCTGCATTCTGCTGCTCTCTGTCCCAGCCTCGTGTATGCTGCCTGGGCACACTTCCCTGGGTAAATCTCTGCTTCTCCTGCTGGGATGAGCAGGGACAGCCCCAGGTGTGGTATCTTCCAGCTGCCTGTGCCTTGGGCTCATGCCAAGTCACCTACCGGCAAATCCCACATGGACCCAGCTGGCTTCCATTTGTCAAAGGAGACCGTGCGAGCCAACAAGTGTGTCTTGCCTAAGTGTTGTGTGTCAGGGTGATAAAAAACAACAAAAGGGAGCTTTGGAAAGAGAGCTGGGAGGTAGAGTGGGTGGGTTGGCTGGAAGCCCTGGGGAAGGTTCTGTGGCAGGGCAGAGGTGGTCTGTGGAGCTAGGCAGAGGGAAGACAGGGCAGCCGCTCTATGACAAGCCCCTGCTGGGGCTAGGCAGATCACCCGAGGAAGCCTGAGGCTGACAGGGATTCCAAGGTTGGGCCGCCTGGATGTGGGGGCTGGCCCTGGGAGGTGGGGATGGCACCAGAGCTGGCCAGCGAAAAGGTGATGGGGTTTGCACTGGTGCACTTGGGCATGAATTACAAAGTCAAGCATGAGCGGCAATAGTGTCCTACAATGTGTTGAGCCACCGGTGTCCCAAAAGAAAAGCCCAGATTAGTGGCCACCCTGGACTCCTGTGGTGTGGACTCCACTAGCAGCGGCTGACCTGTCAGCTGGGGCTGACCACAGGCTGCAGATGAGTGGAGAAGTCCGTAGGGCAGGCATGACTCTAATGGGGCATGGGCAGGAGGACACCCATGCTGCAGGACAGAGCAGGAGAGGGCGAGAGCATGAGAGAGCTCAAGTTGAGTCATGGGGGCTGTTGTGAAGCCTGTCTACCTGTCCAGCTGTCCACAAATCTAGGACATGGGGGGCATGGAGCTTGTAATAGTGTGGGCGCCTGCTTTAATGGCAAAAAGATGGGCACAAGGCCCTCCCAGGCCCACCAGGGTGAGGAGAAGGGGCCTGGGTGGAGCTGAGAGATGGCTTATTCTTGCCACTCTGGAGAAAGTCTGTGACTGGCTATGCTTCCCAGGGCTTGGACTCCGCCTGGTTGTGATCCTGGCATGGCCTGGTCCTCATACCACACTGGCAAGGATCTCTTAAGTGGCCTAGAAGTACCCCACTAGTTCAGACCAGGGTGACTCGTGACTTAGAGAAGGAGCCACTGGGATGAAGCAGAGAAAACTAGACTGGACAACAGGATCACCACCAAGACTGGCTGCCAAATGGGATGAAACCTGAGGTGGGTGGATTTGTCAGAGGAGAAGAGGCTGGCTGCCCAGGCTCTGCAGCTCCCTCTCCAGACTTGAAGCAGAGAGAGCCTCCTTGAGGGTGTTCTTTGTCTGGAAGGATGGTTCACATTCTGGGCAGAAGCCATACAGTCACAAAGGTTTCTAAGTCGTTGCCATCATCTCCAGCATCATTGCCGCCACACCTTCATGACTGTTCACGATGGAGGCCGCTCTGCAAGGTTCCCTTGGGGATCAGGGACACACCCATCTTTAAGCAGGGACACCCTTCTGAGCATGAGTTAAGACACTGTGGGAGCAAGGGGCCTTGGCTGAGTAGCGGAACCCCCTGCCCTACTGACACGGCCCCGCTAGGCAGGATCAGGCAGGCCCAGGATCTTGGCCTGCTTTTCTTTAGCCTAGTGTGCTGGCAAGTCTGTCCTGTCCTGCAGCCTTGGCTGCCGTGGCTTTCTACAAAGGCATGCCAGCGGCCCAGTCGGGCCTGGGCAAGCTTGGAGGCTGTGCACAGTTGGTAGGTACATGGGTAGAAGGTGGGGGCAGCCTCGCTGTCGGGGTTGGAGAGGAACTGTGGTCCACACATCCTCTTCTGCAGTCCATTCCCCGCTCATGGAGATGATACCCAGGCATGAAGGTCAGACACCATTTGCGCGCCTGGCTCTGCTGCCATCAGTGTGTGATCCAGGACAGGCCTGCTTGCTGCTGTCAAGGATTCTGGGTCAACTCCAGACCTCCATGACCTCCTTCCTACGTGTGGACACCATACTCTACCTTGTCAATAGGACAGTCCCCATCTCCCCAACCAAGGACGAAATAAGATCTCTCACCTTATACCCTCACCTTGGGGGTTCTGAGCTTGCTGAGCCCCAATACTTTGCCAGCTAATGGCAGGGTACAAAATTCTGGGCATAGGGCATCTAGACTCACAGGGAGATGACACCTCACTTCCTGGGAGGAGAAGCTGAGGTCTAAGCAGGGACAGGGTTACTCAGGATCAAATTCAGCCCTGTGTGCTCCACTTGAGTGACAGCCACCCGCTCTTCGAAATGGCCTAAAGTTCCCACTTCCACTGACTCAAAGACCTGGTACTTTGCTGTGCTGGGGACCTGTTGGTGGTGACTGCCTACGTAAGCATGGGAAGATACCCAGGCTGGCCAGGCTGGCCATGCTAGGAACAGCCTGAGGAAGAGCAACGAGGAGGCGAGGAAAAGGAAGACAAAGAGGAGGAAAGCAAAGTCTGCCAAGCAAAATGTACCTCCACGTACAATTTGAAGACTGGAAAGGAAGAGGTTGATTGGGTCATGAACTTTGGCAACTGTCCCAAGGAAGCCTCAAGGTCACGGCTACTTCCTGTCCTCAGGAGGAAGTGGAAGCTTTCCTCTGGAGAGCTTTTCCGGAGAGTTCCATGTGCACATTGTATGTGCTTGTGTGCATGTTTGTCAATGCATGGGTGCATGTTGCATGCATGTGGGAGTGTGCATCTTCGTGTGTGTATGGAGCTGTGTGGGCCGGCAGTGGTGTCTCAGGTCTAGAGCAGGCTGTTAGTGGGATCCAAGGTCATAGCGTTGTGGCCCAGAGTCGGAGACTCCGCCGCTTCTCAGAGTGGTCCAGTTCCTCCTTTCTTCTGCGGCGCAAAGTCTGGTGTCAGCTGGGGAGACATGGGCCACACTCCTTGTACAGCCATTTCTGCAGGCAGCTTTGGGCCGAGGCACAGCTGGCATCATGTGTCCCTTTGCCCACTCTCAAGTGCAAGCCTCCTCTGGGTCCTTGTCAGGAGAAGGGGGCCAAGAAGGTGAGGCGTGAGCTCCATGGGGTGAAGCGCGGGTATCTCTGTGACCTCACCGCATTTGGGGAGGGCATGCCCGGCCCCCTTGGAGGACTTCCATCAGGCCCTCACTTTGGGTTTTAACCTCTTGCTGATGTATATCCCCAGTTTGTCGGTGCCTCCTCTCAGTGCTGGAGTAAAATGGGGCCACAGAGACCAGAACATTCCCTTGGCGCGTGGCTCTTTTCTCGAATCCCACACTGAGCTTTGAGGGGCAGATCCTTTGGGGCTGGCTGACCCTGACTGATATCTGGACTCATCCTTAGCTTGGGCCTGGCCTTTTCTGCCCTGACTTCTGACTTCTTGTTTCCCTCCCTGCCATGACTTTGCCCCTGAGTTTCTGGTTTCTGCAGACAGACAGACAGGCTTCAACTTCCTGTTCTCAGGAAAGCGCCCTTGACATTCCAGGCCTAGAACATCCTTGAAATACTGAGTCAGCCACGGTCCTGGTCAGGGCCAGGCAACGTGCACAGTTTCACTTGGCTTTGTAGTTGGCGTGCACTGTGGCTCACAGGATCACCGAACTCCACAGGGAGCCACACCCTTGGTCACCCCTCTGTTCTGGGTGGTACAATGTCACAAAGCCTCTGACCGTCAGGAGAGTGGGCTGAAGCAGGTAGGTTAGTCCTGACTGTGGGTCCCTGTTCACATCAGCAGCGCATGAGAGACACAAACCAGCTCCACACCCACTGAATCCCAAGCCCTAGCTGAAGGCCACAGTAGCTTCCCACAGCCCCCAGGATCCTGATGCCTGAGCTTCCACAGCCCCTGGTCACCCAAAACCCACTCAGGAAGGGACAAAGAATCCAAAATGAAGGTCTGTTTCTTCAAGGAGAATATCTTTTTGTTTGTTTGTTTTTGTTTTTTTGTTTTTTTTTCCCTCTGTGTAACAGTCCTGGCTGTCCTGGAACTAGCCAGGTTGACCTCAAACTCACAGAGATCCGCCTGCCTCAGCCTCCTGAGCGCTGGGATTAAAGGCTGCACCACCGCTGCCTGAGCAGAACATCATTATGTTTGAAGGCAGACAGCACATGGGCTGGTAGTGTCTGTCACATGAGCAGAGCAGCCACACCTCCAAGAAGGTCCATGCCAGTCCCCAGGTCAGCACTAAGGTGCTGCAGCCTTGCAAGGGGGGTTGTGACTTTCCTCCCAGGGGCAGAAGCTGCTTGCCAGTCATGTTCCACCAGCTTCCCCAACACCTAACTCCTTCATGGCTCTCTTCGAGTCCTAGGAGACTGCGCCCTGGGGAACCCCATGCCCAAGCACTACATGAGCTTGCTCTCTGGTTGCATTTGATCAAGGCAGCCATGGCAAGAGGTTGAAGAACAGGATGAGAGGGGCCAGGAGTTGGGTTCTGGCAAGTGCTTAAGAATCAGCTTCTCGGGGCCAGCAAGATGGCTCAGGTGGCAAAGGTGCCTGTGGCCCAACCTGACGACCTGAGTCTCATCACTGGGTGGGACCTACACAGCGGAGGGTGAGAACTGACTCCTGAAATTGTCCTCTGACCTACGCACATGTGCCATTCCCCAACAATAAATAAAAATCAACGAAGCCCTAGAAAAGCAAGAACCAGTTTTGGGGTGATGACGAAAGCTGTATAGTGTACTGCTTCCTGTGGTGTAACCTCCACCACTGGGTTCACGTGACCAGAGTGGAACAAGGATTCCATGACTGACTGAACACTGTTACTCCAAGACGTACAGCCCTGAGACCTGGCGAACTCAGGCAGGGGGAAAGTGGACAGGACCAGCTGGCCTGTCTCATCTTTATGAATGTGTGGATTTCTAGTTCATACCATTTAATCCTTAATAGCAGGTGTACTTAACAACCGAGTCACCAAGATTCCTGGAAACTTAATAACAGGCCCTAGATGCTGGGCCTGAACAGGCTGGCACTCCCGGGGGCCAGGGCAGTGCCTCCTCACTTGGGTGCCTGGCCAGGCTCCCACTGTGGTTCTGTTTTCCCTGTCAGACTGTCCCCAGGGCTCACAGCATTTGTTCTACAACCCCAAGTCAGCTCAAGCTTCCTGCTGCTCCTGTCCTTAGTGTGCCAGTGCCTCTGTCCCCTTGGGCTCCTCTGAGGGGGAGCGCTGGGGAGCGGATGGACGGATGCCCACCCAGCTGGTCTAACTGCAGCCACTTCCTCCATGGGCCAGCCTTCCCTGTGAGATTTCAGAATTTTCAGAATAAACGTCTCTGAGACCAAACAGCAGGAAACCACAGAGTGGGGTGAATTTGAGGACAGGAAGCTGCTAATCAAGGTGACATCAGTCCCCAGTAGGTACGACAGTCATAGGTCCTCTAGGGGGTCACCAGTTAACCATGAGGCTTGGAGACAGCCAATCATGGTCTGTGTGCCTGGCTAGGCATTTGACACACACACACACACACAAACTTTTGGTGATGGCTGTGAGAAGCTATGCACTGTATGGAGGCCCAATGTGGGCCACCAGCCAAGTGTCAGTCACAGAGACTCATTAACGAAGTCCTGGCATGTTCTCCTGTTGGAGAATCCCTAAGGCAGGTGGGAAGGGTGCCCAAGGTTGCACGTGAACACACGTGAACAGACTGGTAGGCAGAGTTTGCTCACTGGGTGAAGGCAGAAGACAGGGCACAGGAAGGGGCAGAGAGGATACCAAGGGGTCAGTGACAGCATGGTGGAGACCTGGGCCTGTCTATCCATGGCCAAGGCTGGTTCACCCGTCCCATCTGACCCAACACTCACTATGGATGCAATCTGAGCTACCCCTTGTAGACGTTCTCCTGCCTCAAGTATCAGAATTGACTTTATTTTCACTTATCACCTGGCCGAACACTGACACACAGTTTAAACGTGAATATTCGATCCCTGAACAGGCTGGTTCAGTGGCTTCTTTGCTGTACTGTCCGAGTCATTTTCACTGCCTGAGAGGGGGCATTCCTGGCCGCACTGGTTTGCCATTGTCACATCAGCCCTCAGCTCCTACACATGGCTTGTCTTTGAGTCTTTCTGCTGAGGGTGGAAGTGTCAGGGCAGGTGTGCGAAGGACTGAAGCTTCATGGGAAGGTGCGGGTAGGGTGGGGGAGCAGCAAACATTACTTCATTTAGCTCCGATGAATGCTCTCCGAGGTTGCACAGGGAGAAAAGCCAGCTTAAGGTATGCTTCAGTGAACTCCTGCATATTTACGAGCAGGGGGGTAAGGAGAAGGGCCAGGGTGACATGTGGGTAGATGCAGGCAATAGTGGCAGGGTCAGTGACCTGCCCTGTGGGATGGGTCAGCCAGGGCCGGCCTTGCTAGATGTTCCCTGCTGTGCCTTGGTCAGTCCACAAAGGTGACACCTCACGTGGGCCTCTGAATATCGAGTTATCGGGTGAACAAGAGAGGTTCTGGTCTGGGGAGGGAGGGAAGGGAGGAGGGCTGCTTTCTCTATGGCCTGAAGGACAGTGGAGTTCCAGGGGAGGGGCTAGGAAAAGCAGGGTGTGCCAAGGGCCTGGGGTCAAAGGGGTGAGTGTGAGGACCACCACAGGGCCCCACAGTGAACCAGAGTGGGCTCAAGAAAGGGCAGTGGTGACTACAGTTTTCTGCTAAGCGTGGTGGGGACCTGGGCCTGTCTGTCATGGCTAAGTGGTCCAAGCACTCTGAGTCTCAGTTTCTGTATGCCCAGGGAGGAGCTGAGGAGAGGAATGGAACCAGACCCGGGGCAAAGGTGTCAGCAACCATATTGTCATCTTTATTATCAGCAGGGAAGAGCTAGGTTGAATTCTAGGCCAACTGGGTTGGGTTCCTGGTCTTCTATCCAACTCTGCCCTCCCTCCTGCCTGACACTCGTTTTTGGAAGGCACCCCCTGCTAAGGCCCTACCTTCCTGGGTCCTGTCCAAACCTTTTGTGGTGAGCTGGTTGTCTCCTATCTGGCCCAAGTGTTTGCCCCCGTCCCCATGTCCACAACTGGGCATACTGTAGGATGGCCATGTCCTACTCTGGATGGCACTGAACCAAAGGTGGGTGGGCTGGTAATGACAAACCTTGCTGGGCTCTGAGGGCACTGGGGCTGTGGCTCTGGAGCTCGGGGACACAGTTTTCCCTCGGTGACACCCCGGCTACTGCCAGGACTGCTTATGGCTGGGTGTGGCTGGTGCTCAGGGCAGGCAATGTCGACAGGCAGAGGGCAGGGAGAGAAGCTAAGAGCAGAAGGAGAACCCCCAGGAGGCCCACAGGTCAGTTCTTGGGCTCAGACTGCTCAAGGTGAGGAAGCAATAGCCACCTCCATGTCACAGCAGCCCCCACCTCCGCTGAGTGTCCTCCCTCAAAAGTGCCTATCTCAGTGGCTCAAACAACTCCATGTAAACCCAGACTCCCAGGGCTCTATCCACACCCTGACCACAGGCTCCATGCTTCCCCTGACCAAAGGCTCCATGCTCACCCTGACCACAGGCTCCATGCTCACCCTGACCACAGGCTCCATGCTCACCCTGACCACAGGCTCCATGCTCACCCTGACCACAGGCTCCA